GGAAGGGACCTCAGAGGTCATCGAGTCCAACCCCCCTGCTCACGCAGGGTCACCTAGAGCACGTGGCACAGGGCTGCATCCAAGCGGGTTTTAAAGATCTCCAAAGAAGGAGACTCCACAACCTCTCTGGGCAGCCTGTTCCAGTGCTTTGTCACCCTCACAGTGAAGAAATGCTTCCTTAAGTTCCTGTGGAACTTCCGATGCTTCAGTTTGAAGCCATTTCCTCTAGTCCTATCCCTGCCCACCACTGAAAAGAGGCTKCCCCCCTCCTCCTCACTGCCTCAATAAAATTCTGAAGGAGATCTTTAAAATTGCATATTGTGCCTATAGTGGGACTGACCTTCTCTGGCAATGGCCTGGTAGAGCTCTCAGAGCAGATACAATTTCCTAGTGTTTACCATAAATGCGAACTACTAGCTGGAGAATCCAGATAGGGATTAATTGTATTTCAACAACAGTTAATGACAAAGGACTTTCTTGATACAGAGAACAGACATGAATGTAAGGAGATTACACTAGCAATTCCTTTTGGTCGACACCTTTCACTGAAGAAGCAGCCCACTAATTATATTTTTAAAACTTATCTAAAAATCTAAATGCAGCAAAACAGTTGCTGCATATACAGAAGCACTGACAATAATATGAAGAATAAAAAAAAACATTTTTGTTATTAATACTTTTGTCTGTGCTTGAAAATGCTGTCATCACTGGAAAAAAATAACCAGCGCCTGGAATAGTCATTCATTTCAGGTCTAGGCGCTGGCACTGAATAAAAGCACAACTGAACACGCAGAGGGATATTTAATAAATGAATATTTTATGCAATCAATCAACATGACATGAGTTGCCACTTCAAACCATCCAGAAGTTATAGCAGTGCTTATAACAGGACAGCTTAAATATTCTTACATCTTTCAATTTTATCTACTTTCAAAGCCTTTAGGGATCATACGTTGAAGCTTTTCTTTGCAACTGAGAGCGCCAGAAATTAACCTTTTCTACAGTGAACCCCAAATTTATACGTGCTTCCACAACAGTAGCCTTTAGAAGGTGAGTTTCAGACAAGAGTGCAAATTAACACATGATTTGCCAGAGGACTGCGGGACTTCATTACTGTAATCCTGCAGTAACGCCGCGCCACAAACTGGACATGACCTTCAGAAGGAATCGGACAGTGAAATCCCAACGAAGCTGTGAGCAGCACCAGCTTCCAGCCACAAGCCAGGCTTTCTGTGCAGGACTGGCCAAGCCAGAGGCACAGCTCTGTACAAGGGCATAGCTAGGGACAGGCACCGACTACCTGCACTTCAGTCTGTCTTGCTGCACTCCACACAGGTGTTCGTGCAGGAGGGTCAGCCCTACCTCTCTGTGTTCCAAAATCCCTTGGGGACCAGTTCAATTATCCATAGATAAACACTACTCAAGTCCCAGAGGGAGCCTACACTTAATCAGATGTGTTTACAGGACACATCCTACGAGGACACAGTCAGTCACTGCTGCGGAGAGAAGCCGAAGACATTTCCACACGCATTGCCAAGCGCTACTCCTAAACCCAACCTGAGCTCGTATTTGTTTTCCAGGCTTTTGTTCCCCATGGAGCTACGCAGGATCAAAAGCTGTTTACTCCTTTGTCCTGATAGGTTCTACATGGACGAGGTTTCAGTAAAATGTGCCAAAACCACCAGTCCGGGCTCTCGTGTTGTTGCTGGAGCCTAAGGAGGGATGACACATGGTGTTTACAGTTCACGCCGCTCTGAACTCCCCAGTTCTCTGRAGAAGAGAAAGGCAGTGCGATCGCAATCTCCTGATTAGGGCCTGCATTTTTCAAACGTACACATCTTTGCAGCATTTCCACAGTATTCAATTCATTTTGAATGTAAACAGCTCCAAAAATAGGGAAAACACTAATTCTCTCCTTATAAGGTCTGAATAAAGGAAAGAAAATATAGGCTGCATTCAATATGATAAATGTCTAAGACATTTTTCTTGAGTGGGTTTCTTGACTCTAGCTTCTACATTCACAGGAGACAAATTATTTTGGTACACAGAGATAAGAAATTGTGTCACCTCAAATTAATTTTGTACTACAATTACCAGAAAATGCTGCTGTGACCCATAATCTTTTTTATCATTTTCAGACTTTCACCCCACTTAAAATTTGATTCCAAGGTGCTGCACAATTATTTCAAGACTTGGTCCTGTATCCTGCTCTGCCTATAAATCAACATTGTTGACAGGGCACATCAGCATACACTATCACCACTATAGAATGCTTGCATTATTATCTGCCAGATGGCTATGAGAGTTGAATGAATTATAAGAAAGTTCTCTTTCTCCCCTTCTGGGTTCTTTGCTGTTGCGTAAGCACTGCAGCCTTGTTGACCTCATAGCAGTACGAGAACTAAGCAAGGGAGATGACAAGAACAAATGGCCAAAGGTGCTGCAAGACCAAGTGCAGAAAAGAGGTAAAATCACTTTTGGAGAGTGATCTAACAAAGTCCTCCATTTCAGCCACAGGGTCCTGTAGGGTTTTTGATTCATATATAAAATCATAAAGATCTGCTGCTAAAGATATTCAGGTATCAGCCAGTTCAGCCTCCTATACATAGGTAGAATATCATGATGATACCTAAGCTGTTCTTAAAAACCTCTCCTAAGGAGACTTCATTAGCTTTCCAAGGCAGGCAGTTATGGTGCTTCACCACCTTAACAATGGAAAAATCTTGCAGATATTTAGCCTAAATCATCTCTGTGGCATATTAAATTGACTTCTCCTTCCTCCAGAAACTATGGGGGACCATTGATCACTGTCACTTAAATAATGACATTTTGCATATGCCCCAGGGTCTTCTTTTTTTGTGGACTAAGCAGGCCTCTTTTTTTTTTTTTTTCTGTCTTTTCTCTAAGGTTACATATTATGAATCTCACATCATTCAGAACTTTCTCTACTTGAATTTCACCTTCCTCAAAGTATGGTAACCGAAACTCAACACAGTATTCTCCTGACGAGGATCAGGACAAAACATAGCAGAAAAATTGCTTCCATTGTCCAACTATGACACTACTGTTAATCTGTCCTTGCAGGCAATGGAAAACTAAAATACACTGTAGAAGCTGAGTGAATTCCAAACATATATTTTTATTAGGAGAATAAAATTAAATATGATGCAAGGAAAGTCCCTGCCCTACAGAGCTAGCTCATCTTTTGAAACAACATAATTACACACACATTCTCACACATTATGCTTTGGCTAGTTGCCTGTATGACCTACAAATTCTGCTTGTTATGAGGTACTTATATTTATTCAACAATTTTCACTGCCTTTTTATCCCATTTTTTCAGAAATGCTTGAAACCTTGGGCTTGGCTCTATAGTCCCAACTGAGCAGGTATGTCCTGGACGTGACAACAGCCCCACTTACCGACAACTGCAAGGGCTGTCCTTTCAGGTGGATAAAACCACAGAAAAAGCGCTGCCAGCAAACTGATCCTTCARGTTTGGACACTATTAAGTCTACAGTTGGCAAGTAATCTATCACCTCAAGTGGGCTTTAATGCTCTTTGACTCACTGGCCACTTCTGAGGAGGAGTCAAAGCAGGAGGCTCCCAGCAAAGACAAAAGGAGCCAAAGGATAGCTAGAGTGCTGAGGGAACCCAAGCAGGGACTCAGCAGGTCTTTCTGTTTGCACAGGGCTGTCCACATCACATACTACCTGCAGGCAGAAGAACTCACTCACAACCTCTTTTTGTCAAGTTCATCTTYATTTCTTTCAAAGATCCGCCTGAAGGCATTCACTGAGAACTGAAAGTTCCCAAAGAACGGAAGACTAGAGATGCTGGGAACATGAAGTGACCATACGGAGGGAGGGCTTTAGAGGAAAGTTATTTCTCAGCAAGATAGGATTCCTGAAATAGCTGATTGCTCACTGGTGCAAAACATCTGTGCCTGGATAGCTCCAGGCAGGATGGAGTACCTGAAGGCAGCAGCTGAAAGTCACAACCATTGACTTGAATGTGAAGCCACAGTTTTTAGTCCCTTTGACTAATCCCAGGAAATCAGAAAGGAAATGGAAAAATCAGGGAAAATCATCAAAACTCTTTTACAGCTCAAGAACTTGTAGATCCATTGATACTGATTATCTGACTATTGCACACTAAGGATTTTTTTCCGACATGCTGTAAGAAACAACATGTGTGGCGCTTCACTCAAATTACCTTTCTTACAACTCATTAAAAAACAAAGCAATCTATAATGTTTCTGCAAACCAGGCTGATAGATTTCCTTTAATTTCAACCATCAACTGTTGAAGCAGACCAACAAATAACCATAGCCCAGTTCCCACTGAGCTCCCCCAAAAGGCTGCAAATACAGAACCTGTCGCATAGACCCATCTGCTTTTCACCAAGATTGAATAACTTTCACCAAGATTGAGAGCGCTTCAGTTATGAGTTTATCTGAACAGCCAAAAGGCTTTAAAGGATACAGTTGAAAACTTTGCCTTTGAAAAACAARTGGGAGCTGAGGGAGCAGTCACAGAAGCCTGCAGTTGCTGCTTGGTTGCCTTGCAGTATGTCCATGACACCCTCCCCACCATTAGTGCTCCAACCAGTTCAGGTTTCTGAGCAGCAAACATGGGTGTCCTTGACATACTGATGCTTTGAAGGGTCCCAGTCACCTCCGCGTACACCACTGCCAGGCACAAAAACTGCTCGAGTGAAGGTGCCACGTGTCAAAGCAGACCAGGGACCTTATCCAACTTAACAGCAGCCACTATTTACTCTCTAACGGGACTTTTCACATGGACCATTTCAATGTTGACTCAGCAACCAGGCCCTGCCAACAGCCATATAGTCAAAACTTAGATGGTGGCCAACTGATGTGCAGAGACAGGAATTTCTTCCATTTGCTTTGCTTAAACAGAAGAAAGGGGGAAAAATGAAACGACAACCTAAACTATGCCCTAAGACTTGGCTTTCTGATGAAGATTGAATTTTAGAAGGTTTGTCAGACTCATCATTCTTTGAAGAACTGAACTGCACTTGGGTAAGTTACCATTCCCCTTGTCTTTACTAAAAGTGAGGGTCCTCAGCAGCCACAGAATCCATATGTTCTTCAAGAAGAGCCCCACAGGAACGTCTCTGGGAAGGCCAAGCTGGCAGCGGTGGCCATGCTGTCTCTCCACCCCRAGACACGTCGCCCGCAGGCTCTGGTTATATTAAACCTACCTTTAATGCAGCCAAACATTTATTCTTCCTGACACCAAATACCTCATATTCATCCCAAACGGTGACTGCCTCTAATTACATAGCTGGAAAACAGAACATATAGGCTATTAGTTGGCGTATGTCTGTCTGCCATTTAATTCCAGCTCCCCACGCGGGGTAGGCAGGAGTCCCTGGGAAGGTTTGAACACTGCATTTGAGCCAGGGCCATCCCATCCCAGACACACAAGGAATGACTAACAGAGGAGCCAGCAGCTCCTGCGGCATCATGTGTCACTGGGAAAACCCTGGTTTGTGCTGAGTACAAGTACCCTCCCCAGCTTAAGTAGAGGGTGCTTGGGAATGACACGGGACTTGCATTCAGGGCCAGGTGCTTGACTGAGGTAGGGAGGTTCTGGCATTAACTCCGAGGGAGTTTCTGAGAAAGTCACTTCACCCCTTTCGGTCTCTGTTCCCCTCCCTCCCGCTTTCACTCCCTGTTCTTTCCCCAACAGACTATCAACGCCTTGAGGTGAGGACGGCCGGTTCCTGCTCCCCTGCACACTGTTTGCCCAGAGTTTGGTGTCTTTTTTATCGGTCCAGCTTCCCTCGTTTCCCCGTTTCCCAAGTTGTGCAACGCTCTAGTTCTACAGAAACTCTGCTCGTTTTCTACAGAAACGCCGCTCGTTTTTCTAAATGCTGAGCACACAGCAAGCAACAAGTTCACCTTAACAACAGTAAATCACTATCCAACCTGGAAAGAGATATGAATTTACAGCAAACTGACCTTAACGACTGCCCTCCTTGTTACAGGGCTGGGAATAATCCGATCCATCTCAAATTCCTCCTCAGTCTACAAAAATATCCTGATAGGCAACTGCAATTCTTATATTTTCCTAAGTTTTCCTAAGAATTTTCTGCAGGCTCCACTACTCCAATTCAAACCTGTAACAAGCCTCCAAAAGGATGCTATTAAGACCCTGTGCAGAATATAATGTGTTACTGTAAATGTTTAACATATCTGTTATGAAAACTATTGGAAAAATTAATTATGAATCTTGCAATCATTAACACTACATTGTAACCAAGAAAAAAGTATCTAGAAGAAAGATGGGGATTCCATTTTGTTTTGCTAATAAAAAATGAATCTCTCCTAAGAAGGATGAATTGATTGTAAATGGCATTTGCCTAGTAGCTCTCACTCTTCTCAATGCAAATGAATGGAACATAAGCATGTTCAGCTGCAAAAATAATGTACTTCTTTTTGCTACTGTCAGAAATTCTTCAAACAAATTCTTTCTAAACTGGTGAGGAAGTCCTTTGTGTCTGCTTCAGTCAAAGAACTCTTTAAGCTGTAAAACGGTCCCTGTAAATGCTCCTAAAGTAAGGACAGAAGGAAAAATAGGGGGAAAAAAAAGAGTTTGCAACAAAGTTTCTTTATTTTAGTAGCTTTAAAAATTGGCTTTTCTGGCTTGGAAAAGAGGTACAAATAACTGTCCGCAGTGACATTACCTCAGCTACATATTTGTTAGAGAGACTGAACAGCAGAGTCTGGGAAAAGTGCAAACTATTTCTCAAAGTAACCTCTTGTCCGTCTGGCACATTTTAAGGGACAGAACGTCTGGGTCACATAGGAAAGGAGCTGGAATCTCTGTGAACCTTGACAGAGCCATGTTGCAAGCTGTGTGAACTGCTTCAAATGAGGGAATTAAGGGCGGGAGAAGGGGGGCGAAGTGCCACTGTAAATGTCTCACTGAAACACTTAAAAATACTGTAAAGCTGCCAGAATAAGGGACTCACTGTTGCCAACCCTTGCAGTTTTATTGCAAGTCTCCTGATGCTCAATTTAAAGTCGTAGCTTTTGCAAATAACTGATTACCTGAGCATCAGTTTCCGTGAAAGCAGGTTGCCTGCAGAGGTTGCACGGAAAAGCCTCAAGAGCTGCAGTAGTAGTCTGCAAAAGCTCAAGAAAATAACCTGTTTACTGAAGGTTTGTGACTCTTAAGCTAGTCATGATTCTGAGGGAGGGGCTGAAGACTTGGTTTAAAAGTTGTTGCTAGAAATGTGAGAAGCCTAAAAAAATTTAGAAAGGGAAAAAGGAAAAAAAAAAAAAGAAACAAAGAAGAGGCAAAATCCCCAACAACTCTGCTTTAAAACGAGCCTAAACGAGCTGTTCAGTAACACAAGGAAACAGCAGCAAGTAGCAGCAAGGAAGCTATCCCCGCGTTGCCTTGTCTTTGTAACCCTCGCAGTGAAACTCAAGCAAAATAACCCTCACAGTTCCCTAACTCAAGGAGCAATAATGAACAACAGCTGAGCCTTAGAAATACAYAGAGCTCAGGCTGCGGCCTTTGCGAGGAGCAACAGGGAAAGGCAGAAGAGCTCCCAGCGGCTGCTCACGGCAGCATCACAGACACGTTGTGCCCCAGGCCTCTCCTCCCTGCTCAGTGCACCATCCACGGCGCGCACCCGCGGGCCCCGCTGCAGCAGTGCAGGCAACTATCAACACTCATGAGCGCACTCGGACGGGAAAACACGGTCGGCCCACGGGCCAGATCAAGATAACGGAGATGCAACACTGTGAATAAACGATCGCTTCCACCTTTGCTGTGTTTATCTCTTCCTTCATCGCTCTTTCTCCGCTGCCCCCACCACCACTCCTCCACATTTCCATTTCCAAGTAAGATAGAGGATCCAGATGTGCGTTTGAATCTAGAGGGGAAAGCGCAGAGGAAGATGCAAAGAGATAAACGCGCTCAGACTTATTTCCCACTCGGATTTCTCGTTGCTGTTTCTCCCATTGTTTTTCCAGGGAGGAGACTGGCCTGACCAGAGTGGCGCAGAGAGGGGCAGAGCACCCGCAGCCAGGCAGGCGGCTGCGAGCGGCGGCGGGAGCCGTGTCCGGAGGCAGGCACGGAGCAGCGCGGAGGCTCTGCCTCCTCAGAGGCCCTGGGAAGACCCCGAGGCTGGGGGCAGGTGCACCGTTCCCGCAGTGCGGGGCTCTGCTCCGCTGGCTCCAAGGCTGACAGGGAGATTCCTCTCGCAATCGCTTCCTCTCCAAAGCACCTTCCGGCTCAAAGCAGCCGCTGCCACAAGTGCTGTCAACAACGGGAGGCTCCTATTGAAGATGGGCATTAAAAATACTCATAATAATAATAATAATTCCTGGGGACTCCCGGCCGATGTCTGTTGCGTCTATCCCTGCTGAATTTGTTGTGTGGAAAAAAATTGGAGTTGGAAAGCACACCAGGCAACTCACAGGAGACCTGGAGTGCGTTTTTGTTGTACATTTTGGTTGAAGTCTTGCTTCCCATTTGTTTTTAATGTTCTCCAGACTTTCACCAAACTTGCTAAGCGTTGCAACGCTTTTGTTCACGCAGCTTAAAAACTACTCTACAAAAACCAGATATAGACCTTTAGAAAATAAGCTGCAGGGAGGGAAAGAACTCTCCAATACAACTGCATTAAGCTTCCCAAGCTCCGGGGAATAGGCCACTGGACACTTCAGGCAGGGCCGGCTAGCGAGCCTGCTCCTTCTCCACAACTGACTCCAATTTAATGGCCAGATTCGGGCATCTCCTCAGGTGGGTCTGCAGGTGAGCGCGGATCTCCGCCGTGCACACAGCAGCGGAGCCCGGCTTTGCCCGCAGGAAAAACAGCAGCAAGGAGCAGCGGGTTTCGCTCCACCTCCTCCACGTGGCACACCATGAGCAGGGCGAAGCAAGCCACCAAGGCCCCCGAAAGCATACAGGGAACGGGTGAGGCAGCTCGGCTTGGGCGGCTCCTTTGGAAGCGCCGGGGTCACCGACCCCTCGGGCCACCTGCCGCTCCGTACGCAGGGCCCCTCCAGGAGCCGAGGAGGCCGGAGAGCCGGGTGCAGCAAGCAAGCGGCTCAAGGAGAGCTCCCATGGATGTGCCACCCTGTGGCGGCAGAGATGTCCCTGGCAGGGCCGGGCTGGGGGCGCTGCYAGAACACAGCAGAAACAACCACSTTGGTGCCGGGGCCCATGGATCTCTCTGGCACAGAGGGGTTTCAYCCCGGAGAGCCCGGGAAAATTGCTGGCCGACCACATTGTGSAGTGAAGGAACRGGGACGCTGCCACACACCAGCTCTGAGGAGACAGGATGACACATTACTTGTATACTATATACTCATAAAGGAACACTGTACAGACTGATAAATCGTTGGATGAAATGTATTTACATGTGCCTGCTGAAACATATACTATCATGCTGAAGCCCTACGCACAAATGTAAATATTTAATAGCAGAAAAGGAGTAAATCTGCGTGTTCATCACAAATTATTTTTCACCCAAAGACTTTATTTAGAACTTATAATGCAATACTCCAAATAAATGCCACATTTGCTACGTTTTACAGAATCTGCACTTTGTTTGTGATTCATATTTGTTTATTAAGAGTCCATGTGCACATTATTTGAAGCTGACAGTTCCCGACATCTCCGTGTGCCCAACAGTCCCAAGAGGAATGTGCTGCCTCCCTCTTGGAGAGTTCCTGAAGAGCCACAACTCTGCCTCATGCTACAGAGGAGCAGGAACGGGGAGAGGTGGGACACTCAGTGCGGTCATAGACAATCTGCACAGACATGTCATGCCCTCCCAGGGGCAGATAAGGCTGGAAGCAGTTCTCRGATACTGCAGATGAAAGCACACAAATGTGTGTGTTGCATAAAACTTGTTAAAAGACTGCGTGTAGCTAGATATGAAATCAAATTAATGGCTAACGTGTTATTGCGCAAGAGTAATTATCAAGATGACGGGGTTAATTTAAGGAATATTAACAGGTTTGTAAATCTTGCCAGACAAATTTATCAGATGGSGGTATCTGACATCTCACCAAACAAGCTCTGCCTTCAGAAAGGGTTGGCTTAGGCTCTGCTGTTGAGCTTCTCCTACAAAAACAAAGCAGGAGGTGAAGGAGAGCAGCGTGCCTGACACGAACCGCGCTCGGAAAYTTCATTACAGATTGGCTGGCACCTSCTCTATGCGCAGCAGCACCCAAATCTACCTTCAGTCAGGTAAATCTTTAAGATAAGAAGCTCCTCGATAATCATCAGAACATTACTACAGGAAAACGCAGGTATCTCAAGTACAAAGGCTGCTAGTCCTCAAAAGTCCTCAGTAAAATACGTCCCATCTCTGAAAACCAGGCTCAAGTCAAAGAATATTTAAGGACTGCTCCACTTGCCARCCCTCCCACAGGACCCAGGCACATTTCCCAGGTGCTGATCCTGCTGTAGCTCAGCACAGAGCTTCAGTTCCTATAACACATCTGCAAATCACTTCAGCCCGAGCTGCACGGACAGAACGAAGCCTGCCGCAACTTAAGAGATAAAGGTATCCTGGTAATTCTTCACCGTGCTTTTTGTAACTCAGTTGGTAGAAGGCTCAGGTGAGAGCCAGAGAGCAAAGGAGCCTCTTGGACAGCGACCAGCCGTCCACTAAGACCAGACCTTTAGTCTCCGGCAGTGCAAGTTAACACACACACGCGATATCTTAGGACCTTTCTCCTGCAGCAGGCTTTTTCCTATTTCGGGTTTCACTGCCAA